GCTGCGGACAAAGCCGCCGCCGCTGCGGCGAGGTGGAGCGGAGTTCGCGCGATGGCGCTGGGCGAGATGGGCGAGGTGCTGGGGCTCGTTCGTGGCGAGCGCTGCTCTGTGCGTGCGATGGAAGGAGCGCGCGTTCTAGCGGGCGCGCGTTGCGTGAAGAGCCACGCGTTGAGCGAGGACTTGCCGTGCGCGTGCACACGCCGTGCGCGTGCACACGCCGTGCGCGTGCACACGCCGTGCGCGTGCACACGCCGTGCGCGTGCACACGCGGGGCCGTGGTGCACGCGGGGCCGTGGTGCCCACGCCGTGCGCGTGCACACAACGTGCGCGTGCACACGCCGTGCGCGTGCACACGCCGTGCGCGTGCACACGCCGTGCGCGTGCACACGCGGGGCCGTGGTGCACGCGGGGCCGTGGTGCCCACGCCGTGCGCGTGCACACAACGTGCGCGTGCACACAACGTGCGCGTGCGCGCGCGGGGCCGTGGTGCGCGCGCGAGATCCCCGCCGCTAGCTTCGTGTGTCGCCCGTCACGGGGACCGGCTCCTTGCGGCTGTTGCGCCGCTTCCATTTGGGGGCAGGGGAGCGGTGGGAGGTGGGGAGGGCTGGTGGGGGGGGACAGGGGGAGGTGGGGGGGGGGGCTGGTGGGGGGGGGCAGGGGGAGGTGGGAGGGGGGGGTAATTATTTTTAGTCCCGCTCATCATCTCACCCCCTTCGTCCACCACGACGATGTCGCATTTACGTCGTGGTAAATGCGCGAGACCCCTTTGCACCAAATTGAAGCGACCACCCCCGCACCGGCGGCGATCTTCGGGGTGCAGAGGGGAGAGCGCAGCTCGTGAACAATCACGGCGGCGATGTCGACTCGTGGCGCTGCGCCACTGACACCGCCGCACGGGATCCGCTCCTCACTCTCGTAGAGAGAGAGGACGACTCAGAGAGAGAGAGATGGACGACTCGGAGAGAGAGAGGACGACTCAGAGAGAGAGAGGACGACTCAGAGAGAGAGAGAGATGGACGACTCCGAGGCGCCAGGAGGAGGGACCACAGACGAGGAGTGGGAAGGCAGTAGCAGCAGCAGCATCAGTAGCAGCAGCAGCAGCAGCAGCAGCCACGCGGTGAGGATCCGGCGCTACCAACAATCGCCCGAGCTCTGCGGTCCTCTACTCATGGAGGTGGCATCGGCCCAACGAATGTGTTTAGACACGTGGGGGGAACCCGGAGCGCCCGGAGAGCACCCCACGCGTGCGAGGGGGCAACACTCTATCCCCATGCAGATGGCACGGGTGGAGTCCACGCTGCTGCTGTGTGCCGCCTTCTCCTGTCAGAGCCAGGGGTCCGACGCCTCCTCGACGCTCACGGGAAGGGGAGTCTCCCACCATCTGTGTGTGATCCACTAACCCTCGCTGCTGCCTCCACAGCGCTGGACCACGTGGCAGCCACGCGCAGCAGCGGAGCCGCCACCGCCCACACGACTCATGGTGGGACAGTGGAGCTGGCACCACTGAGACCCATAGACTCAAATGAACCCATAGAGCTACAGTAAAGACACAAGCCACAGCAGTGAAGGCTGTGGCCATACAACCCACACTGCGGACCCCACAGTGAACCCACTGGGGTCTGCGCTTCTTCGACAGTGGAGGAGGTGGAGGAGGAGGAGCAGCGACACGACACCAATTCTCTCCTCCCTCTCTCTCGCTGCTGAAGCCGTCTCGTCGTGGCGAGCAGCAGCAGCAGGAGACCTCCACGTTGGTGGCATTTAGCCGCTGCACCACATCGCGGCTGCTGCCATCGTGCGTAAGAATAGAACCCCCCCTCCCTCCCCCTCCAGCCCCCCTCCCCGTCCCTCCCGGGGGAACCCGGGGGGGGGGGACCCGCGGGGGGGGGGGGGGGGCGGAAGAGTTCTCTCACCACTGCCCCCCGCCCCAGACACTCGCCCACCAAAGACAAAGATCCCCCGTATAGCCTGAACAGACTGTTGGGGCAAGTGCTGTTAGCGAGCACCTATGAAGGTCGGAACGGTACACGAGGGGGTGGGTGGCCGCCTTTGTCTCCCCAGTGGCGATGTTTACACCCCCCCCTCCGCCCCAGACACTTCCCCACCAGCCCCGCCCCTCGTTCTCCCCCCGCCCCCGACACTCCCCCACCAGCCCCGCCCCCTCGCCCCATGATCTTGTTTGTATCGATTGGACTCCCAGAGGGAAGGTCCGTGTGTCTGACGGGATGTGTAAACACGTGTTTCACGTCTTTCTACGTGGACGGACATACGAGTTGGAGGCGTAATGATCTGCATGTCCATTTATGTTATCGGACGACGGGACAGCCCCTGGTGTCTCGCCGCTGCACCCAACGGAAGCTGGGACCGCTCTCGTGCGCGTCACAACGACGCCGATGACGACGATGACGACGGCGATGACGACACGGCCGCCACGTGGAGGGAGAAGATGGCGCGCGTGATGCTGCCTCCTTCAATGGAACGATCGGAGGAGTCCTCCATCAGCCTGCGAAAGCGGCGAGGTGGAACCGTCAGGCGACTGCCCCGATACAGCCACTCGGCTCGCCCGATACAACCGCCGTAAGTTCTGGTGAATGGGTGCGTAGATTCCTCGCTGCGATGAACTCATGCCGATGATGGCTATTTCAGATTGTAACGCGTACGCAACTCGCTGCCTCACGTAGAGAGGCAGCGGAGACTCGGCGATGCCAGGAGAAACCACCGATGCGTGGGAAGGGAGCAGCAGCCAGGCGGTGAGATCGGCCCAATTAATTACACGTCGAGGGGGAATCCGGAGCACTCGGAGAAAGCCCCACGCGTGCGAGGGGGAAACACTCTATTCCCATACAGGTGGAACAGGTGGTCACACTTGGTGCCGTACCGCCTTCCCCTGACGGGCCAGGGGGGGACAGGCTCCTCCTAGACGGTAGAAGGGAGTTTGGCACCATCTGTGTGTGACCCACCAACCCTCGCTGCTGCCTCCACTGCTGGATCACAGGCAGCCACGCGCTTGTTGTTGTTCGGGACATCTGGTCACGGTGCTGTGAGCTGTGATAGAACATTGTGGTTATCGCTTTTCTAATTGTTGTTATGCTGATTAGTAAGCCTTTGTCAGATTGCAAATGCTGCGTGTAACAGAATACCCCCCCAATTGAGAATTGAGGCATTGGTGCTCATCCGCAAGGCGGGGAAGCCGTGCGGGTAGCAGACGATGTAAGTGGAGAAGTGGCAAAAGAGGTTGGAGATTTATTTTAAAAATTCGGATGGTGTTTGGAGAAAAAAACAGCGGTGGAAATTCCACATTCCTATGTCCGGGGGTGGGGAGTTGGGCACACAGCTGCGAGGTGTGTGCGGGGTCGACGGTACGAACAAGCCGAGCGGATGTGGAGACGCGGTGACATCAGGGATTCGAGGCCAGGGGTGACCTCGTGACCTCGATTATGGGTCTCACGTTGTCGACGAGGAAACACGAGAGCGGAGGGCGAGTCAGTCGCTGAGTTATCGCTGCCTCGCTCGCTCGCTCTCGAGGGCCGGGGGACCACGTGGGGAGTTTAAGAGACGAGATGAGTTATTGGAAGTTTGTCAAGAGACCATTAATAAAGCGTTTTTTTATATTTATTTAATGCTTCGCTAAAGCGGTCCGATAGTTTTGGCTGCATTCTATTATTATTATATTTGGCTTTGGAAGACACTGGTAATCGAGCCATCCACCGCATCGCAACATCGCCAGGCCAATGCTGCACCTCGTGCATGGAAACTTGTGGTGCCACTGTGTGTGTAGAACTTCTTTCGCACCGTACATAGCCAGCCGCGCTCCTTGGAGGGGCGGGAGTAGGACAACAAACTAAACAACAACAAGGAATTTTGTGGCAAACCCAAACTATAGACCGTTGGTGGTGGTTGCTTGGTGGTTGGTGGATGTTTGGTGGGGATTGATGTTTGGTGGTAGTTGTTTAGTGGTCGTTTGGTGGTGCTTGTTTGCTGGTTGGTGGTTGTTTGGTGGTGGTTGGTGGTTGTTTGGTGGTGGTGGTTGTTTAGTGATTGTTTAGTGGTTGTTTGGTGATTGTTTAGTGGTGGTTGTTTGCTGGTGGTTGGTGGTAGTTTGCTGGTGGTTGTTTGGTGGTGGTTGTTTGCTGGTGGTTGTTTGGTGGTGGTTCGTGGTTGCCTGCTGGTGGTTGGTGATTGTTTGCTCAGGAGTCAAACACGGAGGTTATCGCGCGGGGTCGCAGTCGGAATGCGCCATGACCCCACGCACCAGACCACTCACCACACTTCCCACACACCACTCACCACACTCCACACTTCCCAAACACCACTCACCACACTCCCCACACACCGCTCGCCACTCACCACACCACTCACAACACACCACACGTGTCCACACACAACCGCCGTTCATCACTAAGTGGCGGTAACGTCACGACACTTGTGCCAGGCTAGGTGCACCTCGAGACCACGTGAAGAGTGGAAGGCTCGCTGCTGGCAAGTCGTCACGGGACAGACCTGAGATGACTGGCAGATGCACCACCACCTGTGCTCTCCACTGTGCTAACTCCATCAGTTTTAACCGCCCAACGCGCTTTGTTGAGAGCGTCGCTCCCCCGCCGTTGCTGAAGGAAAAATGCCTCCGACTCCAGAGTGGCCTCAGAGTAACACCTCGCCTGTCACTGCCCAGCAGCGACCTTCACGAGCCTCCTCAAATACCACATATACACAAGCACCAAAGATACCTCGTATCGCCTTAACAGACTGTTGGGGCAAGTGCTTTGAGGGTACCTATGAAGGACAGAACGGCACACGAGGTGGTGGCCGTGGTGCTGGATGAGCCAATCTCGGCGAGGCCCATGATCGGTTCAGACAATCGTCACCGATGTTGACCGCGAGCGTGAATCGAACTCGGGTCGCCAGGTTCGTAGTGCAGCGCGTTAACCGCTAACACCACCGCACCGCCCACACGCGCACCACGCACACATACGCAATGCACAGCAAGCGAGCAGATGCGGTGCTACACTTTTATTTCTCCACAGAGCAACGAGGGTTAAGTTGAACCAGGCGGTGACAGAGGCCGCCTGCCGCTTATACGTTCCTGCCAAGCAGCGCCGTCGTTACCGAACTTCCCCTTCCGATGCAGAGCACGGAACACATTTGTGAAATCGAGATTTCGACGGTCAAGCAAACAACGTTACATTTTTAACCCGAACCGGTAACTGATTGACAAACCGGTTAACGATTCAGGGTGAAATCCCAAGCACCTCCCCCTCCGCGTCCACCGGGCTCACAGCGACCCCTGGTGGCCGCGCGCGTCTCAGCGCGACTCGAGGAGACCTCCCTGTGTGTGTCGAGGTTGTTGTTGTTGTTCTCCCCCCCTCTGTTCTCCGTGGGTTTCCCCAGCCAAACATCCGAAGGGAGCAGGACCCCCTCCCTGGCTAAGTCAGTGGTAATTATTAAGTTCACACAAACATTTGTTCCACGAGGAACGCAAATTCCGCAATGCATTTTCTCTCCATCCGAACGTTAATATTTTTTTATTAATCCTTTATATTAAGTTCACTTGCTTGCTTGCGCGCTTACGACCGTGCACATCTTTCGGTCGTTTTTTAACCCACTTCCCGTGATCCAATCGAGCTGACATTTTGCACACAGACTCGTTGTGCGTGACAATTTATTTTCGTGAAAATTTTTTTTCCAAAATTTTCCACTTTTTGGGAATTTTTTTTTTTCATATTTAATTTAAAATACCAATGTGATAAAAATAAAACTCTTACTCAAGAAAAACAGAAATCAATAATAAAATAAAACCGATGCCATGCATATAAATGATTTATAGTGAAAAACTTTGTTTTCACGGGTTAATTTTTTTATCAATCCTTTCTCTGCACGAAGGTGTATACAATCGGCACAAGCAAACGATGAACTTTAACGTCAACTTCCAGAAGGATGTAGCGGCAGGCAATGGCTCCCGCGGCCGCTCTGTCCGCTCCGCCTGCCGGGGGCTCCGCCGGGTGACGGCGAGCGTCAGGGTTGCCGAACGGGCGGTGCGAGCGCGGTATCATCTTACAGCGTCGCTCTCGCGGCCTCGCAGGGCCTTCACCCCGCCGTGTCTCACCACCACCGCAGCCGCTACCGCGCCCGCTAGTTTTGCGCCGGCGGGCGCGATGTCATCGCTGCTGCTGCTGCTGCGAGCGATTGGGGTGCGGGGAGGGGAACCCGAGGTGGAATTTTTTAAACTGTTAGAGGTCGCGGACTCCCGAGACGTGGCCGAACCCCGTTTCAAACGACGCGTTAACCGGGGCGGCCTGCCGGATGCAAACCACGAACCTCGGCCGGCGACGAGCAGCGGCCCCCCGGTTAGAAACATTCACTCACCGGTCTCCGCCGTGGAGTTAGCACATCGAGGCTCCCCCGTCCTCCACTCTCTCTCACAGTGGGGGGCGGGGGAGGGCTCGTGGAGGGGGGGGGGTGGGCTAGCGGAGGGGGGGGGGGCTAGTGGAGGGGTGGGGGAGGGCTAGTGGAGGGGGACCCCCGTGCCAGGAGAAGGCCCCGGGGCCTGCGCTGCGCTAGTGGCTCGCCCATCACGGCGATGCGGCCAATGGTCCCCCGACAGCCCCGTCGCGCCGTCGGCCTAGCGGCGACAGAGAAAGACAACGTGGCTCGGTGAGAGACCGTGGGCGGTAACGATCCGTCGCCGTGTGTGCGTGTGTGCGTGTGTGCGTGTGTGTGCGCGCGCGCGCGCGCGCGCGTGTGTGTGCGTGTGTGCGTGTGTGAGTGCGTGAGTGTGCGCGTGTGTGCGCGCGTGTGTGAGTGTGTGTTTGAGTGTGTGCGTGAGTGTGTGCGTGTGTGTGTGCGTGTGTGTGTGCGCATGTGTGTGAGTGTGTGCGCGTGTGTGTGCGTGTGTGTGAGTGTGCGCGTGCGTGCGTGTATGTGTGTGAGTGTGTGTGTGCGTGTGTGCGTGTGTGTGTGTGTTTGTGCGTGTGTGCGTGTGTGCGTGTGTGCGAGTGTGCGAGTGTGCGCGTGTGTGCGTGCGTGCGCCCCGCATCGTCCGAGAGACACAGCACCGTGCAGAGTTGAAGCGCGAAGCACATATAACGGCACGAGTTTCCTAGACCAGCGGTTATTCCCAACCTTGTTTGGCGACTCTGTACGCCCCTTGTCGAATTTCAACCGAGTAACCCCCCTTGCCTGAGCCAACATGGTTCTGAGAAATAAATGTATGGATAATGAACGGC